TCAAAACATGTCAGGATGTAGTACACAGTGGAAATAGTGCGATGCATGTCATAGAAATCACCTGAGGAAAGTATTTCACAAAGAGAAATTGTTTTGAGTTTTGGCGTGCAGAAAAAAAAGTCACCCGTTTGGGTGCTCGGACCCTAATAATAATAATAATAATAATAACAATAATCCGAGCAGTTCCAATAGGGTCTTCGCACCCTTTTGGGTGCTCGGACCCTAATGAGAAAGTGTTGCTTCATCTTCATCAGTGTTCCGGAAAAACAAATGTTTCTGTCCTTTCTTAACAACTGGTTTTAATATATTTTTATTCAGTGTTTCCACTGTCAAAGTTCACTGAGTAAATTCTTGAGCTCAAACAAACATGTCAACAGTGTTCTGCTGGCACGTTACCACAGCCTGTAGGTCAGTGGAGGAATGGGACTAAACTGGCATGACTGTGTCCCCTGAGAAACAAAGCTTCACCTCAGTCATGTTACAACTGATGCACAGCACCACTATGAATCAAAACATCCGAAATCTTCAGGTTGCTTCATGGATGTCAGCAGTTACATCCGTGTAATCATAAGAAACTCGTCCTCTTGAGGTTTTGACTGCTCCTGGTGCCATGGCGCATTGTTTTCATTAGTGTTTCCATTTAGTTGTACCTAAGTGCTCTGCTAGCACAGATGTCATGTAAACAATGCAGGTTTTAAAGGTAAAAAAAAAAAGTTTCTGAAGGAGGAAATACATTCACCATGTTTGTAATACTTCAGGTAAACACCAGACAACATGACAACAACTTTTCTGGAAGAATAAAAACAAAAAAAAATGAACTCAAAGTCCACTTACTGGAAATTTGTGCCACATTTTCTGGTTATCAGATGAGCCTCTAAATGGAAAACTCCCCGAGCTCAAATCTATAACAGACATTAAATGGTCACAGTAAGAGGCAAACTGATGACAAAGACAGAAAATGATCAGAAAGAGATTAAAAATCGCTACAAAAAAACACAAAATGTACACAGTCATAAACAATGAAGTTTGCAGACCGGAAACAGACAAAAAAGCAAAATGGCTGAAAAGAGATGCAACATAATGCAAAATGATCTTACAGAGACGCAGAATAGTGCACAATGACCACAAAGAGACGCAAAATGCTGCAAAATGGCCACAAATGCATAGAAAACAGCTCAACATAACCATAGAGACACAAGATGACCAGAAAAAAATACCACAAAGATGCAAAATGACTTCACCACACAAAGAGGCAGAAAACAACAAGGGGACAGAAGTGATGCAGTGAACTGTTCTCGGTTAAAATGTTGACTTTTCAACACTTTGAAACCCACAAACTTTTTTTTCCAAACCCTCTCTATGAGCCAGAAATCTCAAAATCTGGGCAAGTAAAACCAAAACTAACCAGCCGGATCCAGCAGGAAACAATTAAGGACATGCTGAGGTTTGTGTTCTTGGAATCTGGTTGAAAAGTGAACTGGGAACTCACTGTTGATATTCCTCACACAACTTACTGGAAGCTTCTTGTGTTTCTTCATAACCAGGTGAAGTTTGCTCCATGTGAGAGTTACACGACTAGAAACTACAGAGACACTAAACTAGAAAAGAAGGCCATAAAGTGACTCAACTCAAACTGATGAGCTCCTCACACTAATTGACTAAATATGAAAATGACAAGCTGCCTGAGCTGAATGTGGCTCAGATCGACTCCTGCAGCTGTCAGCTCCACTGTCCTCTGTAATGAAGCAGACGGAGAGCAGTTTTCCACTTGGTCTGAATAAGCCTGTTTATAGGTTTTTGGCAGCTCTTGCTGGTGCATGCTGGTGCCAGCTGTTTGAACTCTCAGTGCAGCGATTAATAAGGAGTTCCCGGTCATTAGTAGGCGGGGAGCGTTGTTTGGGAGATCCCTCACACAGAGGCTCCTTGTTTCACCCAGAAGCTCCGGTTGAAACAAGCCGCCGACAACACTGGCCGCTACGAACAGAAGAGTTTTCTGAACACTGCTGCCGTCAGCTGATATTCAGCCACACAGAGAGGCAAGAAGTTTATTAGTGTGCTGTGAAATGTTCTCCTCGTTAAACATCACACTCACTTTTCTTTAACAACCATATTTAAAGAACCCTTCATATATCAGCACATCGTGGCTCGAGTTTTAAAACCCAAACGTCCACGGAAACCCAATCAACTCAATATCAACTCAAAAATTCAGCAAGAGTCGGCCTAGAATTAAAAAAATATGCTCACTGATTGCTGATTGATGCTTATCATTGAATTTACATGCAGCAGATTTGCACAGTATCAGATGTTAGATGTAAATTTAAGTGATGGGAAAAAAAAGTACTGACAAACCCTTTAATGATGGTTTGGTTTAGCCACCAAAACAGCTTGGCTTACTTTGAGGAACCATCTGTGTTTAGGTTAAACTAAATTCTTTGTAAACGTTAGAGGACCTCCTTCATCATGGTAACGATACAAAACATGGTTTTTGGATGGTCAAATGTTGTGTTGACCCATCCACCGACACCAACCTCCTCCTTGTGAACTTTCTAAGTGTGTCACTCAAATGTGGCTGAAACATCTGATGCAGTCTCACAAGACCACTACAGGTTATGAACAATAAAACCCAATAAGATACAAGACAAGTTGTCTAATTAACCCTATTCTGGACTTTGGGGGTCTTTTGGACTCCAGGCCATTTGGTTTAGGTGACAGGTATTGTTTTTTTACTTTTGAAGATTTTTTATAAATATAAAAAGAGGGACATTTGTCATGCATTTGGAACCAAAAACACGTCAACTTATTAGAAAATGTATTTAACATAGTATAAAAGTCTATAATGAACACCAACAAATATTTTGCTCATATTCTTTCTTGGGGTCCAATAGACCCAGAAAGACCTTCTATGTATGGCAACATGAAAGTCCTGAATAGGGTGAAGTTGTTGTTTAACCAAACGAAAAGTTTGGACCTCACGCCAAGGCTGATGACAGTCTGTGGTTTGTCTTCCACAAAAGGGTCTTCATCAGTGTTTGTACCAGAATCTGTTCCCTACACAAAGCTATTGTAGCTAGGCTAGCTGTTTCCCTTTGTTTCCAGTCTTTGTGCTAAGCTAAGCTAACCGCCTCGGGCCTGTAGCTTCATATTCACTACACAGTCAAAAGGAGCTTTTCCTGGAATGTCAAACTATTCCTGTAAGTTAGATAGTTTCCGTGTCCGTGGTTCTGTAGTTCTTCTAAAATGTTTTATGTTCAGTCAACCATGGTTTTAATATATTTTATACACAATCTACAACTCAGCATCAAGTCAGCCACGACGACAGTTTAAAGTTTGGAATAAACACTGAAATTTACTAAGACGACAAATCACCCAACATGTCGTTGTAACGGCATTAAATCTGAATTGAAATGAGCTGAAAATGAGACTAGATGTAACATATTTGCAGTTGCTTCTTACTGGTCTGGCAACAGGCTGCTCGTTTCAGAATGTTTACTGGGACATGTTCAGTTACTAGAAAGTAAATCACACTGGAACTTAGTGTACAAACAGAGTCAATGCAGTGTAAATAAACCCAGACGTACTGTATCTTACCTGTATTTATGATTCAGAAATGTTTAACCTTCCATTTTTCAAAAGCTTGTTCCATCTAAGTGGCGCCAATCAGCAGCTGATTGTTGAATTTGCCACAAAGCCAAACTCCTCCTCAGCCTGAAGCGAAGTAAAATCTCCACCGTCATTTGAATGGAAAATGTTTGTTGAGCTCTTCGAGGGTTTATAAACTACTTCACTCATACTTAAACTTGAGTGGAAACATCTGAGCCTTCAAAGCTTTTTATTCTTTCCAACATTGATCTGTAAATGTGACAAATGAAAGCATATAACTCGGTTCTGTTCCCGCTGAGCGCCGGCAGCAGCCTCAGTACTGTAGCGTCGCATGAAGCTGCACAGCACGACCCGGATAAATATTTAGTGCTCTGAAGGCCGCCGTGGTGCATGAAGGTCACAGAGCCTTTATTGAAACACACAATCTGACCTTTATGATAGAAGCAGAAAAAGTTCATCACTCCACATTTTGGTTAAAACGGAGGCTGTTTTTGTCAGGAAAAGATCTGTTACACTACCAATGAACAAACTGAATATGACTTCTTACATTTAAAAGAGCAGATTTATTTCTGTCATATTCTGCAACCACTTTGACAAATCAGTCATTTTTTACAAAGTTATTAAGGTTTCCAAAGGTTTATTGCCATCTGCTTTTTAACTGGTCTGGAAATTTATTATAATTTCCCCGGTAGCTTTCAAGATTTTTGTAATTTGATGCTAATTAACAGGAAATGGAGACACTGTTCAATTGGTACATTTTGAAATAACGAATTCCAAGTCGGTCTAAAGCAAGCTAGTTTATGACAAATGAAACTTATACTGGGATTTGACTGGTTTTTCTTTAAAGGAGTCTACGGTCATCGTAGCTAGCTAAATGCTAACATCAGCATGCATCAACAACGTTTAGCAGGTTTAATGTTTACCATCTTCTTTAACATCCTAATTTTATATTTTACTACAATAACATTAGCAAATCAGCACTAAACACAAAGTAAGGACAAGATTATGAAGAATATATAAAAGATGGACAGAACTTTGGGTCTGAACCGTAAATCCAACATGGAAGCGACAGCCAGCAGGGGGCGACTCCTCTGGTTACAAAATGAAGTCTGATTGTATAAAGGTTCGTAAGAAAATTCTACGTCTCCCTTGATCTGCTACCTCAGAAAACATTTTCCTCATGAGTTTATGGTCTCACTGTTCATTGTGTTCCCATTTAGACTAAAATAGATGGTATAGCAGGGTAGGGTATTAGGGCATGACAATATGTGACAATTTCAAATGTTGGCCAGATGATGGCGCTACATGAAAAGTCAGAGGATCACTAAAGTGATTACAGGTCGTCTTGAGGGGAGCATGAATGTTTTAACCAAATTTAATGTCAAATGATCAAGTAATACAGATTCATCATCTGGAAATCCTAAATATCTGGAACAGTTTCATTGCAGTTCACTTGATTGTTGTTGAGCTATTTCAGTCTGAACCAAAGGGATGGAAAGACCAACCAACTTACCGATCCATAAAGCCACAAGCTAAGGACTAAAAACTCAACACAATTACTAATTTTCCACCATTTACTAGAAAATGAAAGATCTGTAACAATTAAAACCCAAGGGTGAAGAAGATCCTCATACAACAGTCTATGAAGGTTCGACTGTCCAGCTGTTGTGATTTCTGCCTTCAGTATTCTGTTAAAACCTGTGAACAGGTTGGATCATTCTGAAGCTACTGGCAGTTACTGAATTTTAAAAACCCCAAATATACACCAGAAGCTGTGGAGCTAAGATGGGATATGAGAGTGGTTCTTTTTAACCCATAATAACTGAAATATAACAACCTCAACTTCTCGTGCACAGAGGGTTTTTATTTCAGATTTCCTAGTGTACACGACAGTTCTCTTGAAGCTGCCATCTAGTGATGATTAGAGGAACTGCAGTCCTTAATGTCTTCGATACCTTCAACACCAGACCATGCTTTTGGTGGTTTTGCCCAAACTTGGTCCACATGATCCACAACAGACTGTTCAGAGTGTCTCGACCACTAGAGCTTCTCTGGAAATCAAGTTCATATGAGGTGAGATTTTCAGTCCTGAAGGATCACATCCGTAACTCTGGTTAATTCTTCAAGTTCACGTGCAGTTTACAAAATGCAGTCTGGTTAAAATAAAATGTCTCTGTCCTCTTGTAAGTGAAGTTAGACACTGCAACAAAGACTCCAGAGCAGCCCCATTAAAACCAGTAGAGCCAGTGGAGCGGATTGCCCCCAAAGTCCAGAGGCTGAGTTGTAGATCTTGATGCGTCCTTCAACAGAGGGATACACTTTCTTTCTCTCTGCAATGTAGTCTGACACAACTAAAATGTCCAAATCCCCTGGAAGGAAGGAAAAAACAGTGAAAAGAGGCAAATGATACCATTAGAAATTCATCAGCATCTCAAGCAACAAAACAGAATAAATCCTGAGGTTATTTCAAGAAGTCTTACCGCTGTTGTGTTTGAGTGTCTCATCTTTGATCACGGAGAATCCGTCTCCACCGTTCACCATGTAGGACGGCAGCACCACTTTGTAGATCGTCTCATCCTGGACCGGTTCGTAGTGCGGAACACGACATTTAGTGCAGAGGATGCTCAGGCTTCTGACACGATTCCCCGCTGGTTTGGAGAGGTCAAACTCCACATGAAATCCTGTTGGATGACACGGAAACATCATCAGTCTGAATCAGAAAACTATCATGTCTTCTGTTCAGTAGAAAGCAGCTGGACTTCTTTTTTTGGTTCTTGGAGATGCTTCACCTCTTGTCCAACCTTCTACTGAGGATTACCATGACCTGGATGGTGATTCTTTGGTCAGTTACATTCTGATGAAGTTCTTGTACAGCGTCTTGTGATTGGACGACATTTAACATTTGAGAACTTTGGCGTTTTTGTTTTGCCTACAGTTGTGTTAGTAGGTATGTGTAACCAGAGGCAAGGTGCTTTGAGCTATGTGAAAACAATAGCATGTAGTCAATGGTGAAGTTCTGCAGGTACAATGTTTACAGTGTTCACCATCTTAGTTTGATGGGTTAGCATGCTAACATTTCATAGGTAGCAGTAAACAAAGTAGAGCTGAGGCTGATGGGAACTTGGGCAGGTATTTGGTCAGGTAACAGACTGCTAAACCAATCACACAACTTCCTGGCCTGCAAACAATTAGAAGGATGTAATCTGTCAGCAAGAAATAAGTACCTAACATGCTGTACGTGCTGATGATTCATTATTTATCGTTTTAAAGATTTTGAGGATATTTTGCAGGTCCAGACTATGACCTTAAAATGGGCCCTCAGATTGAAGCAGCTCTGTCAATCTGTTCCCTGCTTTTATTGATCCATTAGCACTGATTACTAAAATATATTGTTTTCTACAACATGACACCAGACTGACTCCATATACACAAAAGTATTGGACAAATTCAAACCTGATTATGGCGTTGGGGAAAGACGACACAGTAAGGTGGCCTCTGGAGGTTGCTAATGTTTGTGCTAAATGCCATGGTAATCCATTCAACAGTTGTGACGTTTCACCAACAAAGGCCAACTCCAAGGTGATACAAGATGAAAAGTCAGATGATCACCAGTAGGACTGATTCTCTGGGCACCATTAATGTTGGCACTAACTATGTCTATAGTCGTTGAACAATGTCAATATGAACCAAAGTGGTGGAGCGACCAGCAAACCAACCAAACTCCTTAAGTTTCCTATTATCATCAGAACAAAATATATACATAAGTAAGAATGCACATACCAGACACTTGCAGGAATTCTCCGGTGCTCTTGCCGTATCGTCTCACTGAGTGCTCGAAAGATTTCCTCAGCGTGGAGCCTTTCAGCTGCACCAGGTCGAAGGTTCCTCCGAAGGGTAGGACGGAGATCAGGTCCTCCATCGTGATCGAACCTACAGGCGACACATCAGCAGTGTTTTCTACAGCTCCTCTCGCACAACACTTCATCACAAACTGCTTTGCCATAAACAATGCAATACAGTTCTGATAAAGTACGGCTCTGTTTTTATTTGACTTTACCGTTCCTGCTCTGTTCATCAATGGACGTCCGGATGCCGCCTCCATTGAAGATGCAGGCGCTGACATGGTTCCACTGGAGATCATTGGAGGACCTGATGTTGTTGGCGACCTGCAGAATGGAAACAGGAAGTAGTCATACATGTGTCTGTCTTGTGCCACCAAGTCCTCCTTAATATTTTTCATTTCATTTTTTCATTTCATTCATTGCATTCCTTGTTCACTAAAGCTCTGGAACTCCCTGCTTGAAGACCTGCAGCATCAGCAGCAAAGCATCCATCTAGTTTTAATCGAATTTCAAGACAGAACAAAGCAGAACAACACTTTTGGACAAAACAAGACATTTGATTACTCCTGGGGCTTTAATGGGAAATTAATTATATCATCAAGGTAATTCTAAGAAACAACTATTTTCACGACTGATCTTTACAACATTGGAAAACAATATAAAGTACCTCAACCCAAAATGGAACAGAAACAGAAATCCAATTATCAAATTAAGAAACTATACATTTCAGATTGACATGTAAATATACAAAAAAGGTCAAAGGTCACACAGTACATGTTTGTGTGTTTTTTTTTTTTCAGACAATGCACTAAAACAGAGGAACATTTTACAGCAGATATTACTACCTACAAGACTTTGTATTACCTTCTGAGACCTTCTTAAAATAATCACAATCTGAGCTTTTTAAGAGTTTTAAGACCTGCAACATAAAAGTGAATTAAATCTCTTGGATCTAGCTGTTGATCAGTTGATCACGCTACACATTCAGTTTTTAATAATAACTCACAGAAATGTTGCAGCAAAAGGAAAAACAACAACCCTGAGAGTTTTGCAGGAAAAAGTGTTGGGGTCTGTTGTAATCCGGCTAGTCTTACATAGCCAGAACTACATAAGTAAGCTACTATATAAGTACTGTGTTGGGTCTGAAGAATAGTCTGGCTGCACCTTACTATCTGTCTGCTATAGGGGGAAAAGCTCTGGCTTGTTCTTGAAACCAATCACATTCATCTTAGGTGGCACTAAGCCCAGGATGCAGTGATGGTGCCCCTGCAAAAAAGTGTCAGGGAGAATTGTTGTGATGGAACATGCTTGGTAAGCAAAACGTTTTAAACATTCACCAAAAGACCATGGTAGGCCTGTCTTACAGCACACTTCAAAATCTTTATCCGAACTTGACATTTTTAGCATGTAGATGGCTGCTTGGAGGTTATTTTTTCCTATAGCAAAGGGGACTTAAAAACAGCAACATGCAGATAGAGGAAGAGGAGGAGAATGTTGCATGAATTATGCAGCCGATGGCAGGCTTATTGTCTACATCAGAGTCAGACTTCAATCTGGTGGAAGTGTGTGAGCAAAACACACCACACCAGCAGAGGAGAGTCCAACACCAGCCTGAAGCAAGTTTAAAATTTCTTCACTAAACTAACAAACCTCTGAAAGACAGCTTTCAAGTCTGAGTTACAGACTCACCATGGCGTCACAGATGAGGTTTCCCAGGTTGCATTCTCGAAACCGGCACTCTTCAGTTGTTCCATTCAGGAAGACCAGAGTCTTTCCCACCACCTGAGCTGAGTAGTTGGCCAGATTCTTCTTCCACTCCTCCACATCTAAGAGAACCTCTGGATCTGTA